TGCTGTCAGCCTCGGTCAGGAGAGTACCTGACACCTGACTGATCCCAGTGGCCTCCGAAACTCCAGTTTGCACCTCAGTCAGCCCCTCGCGGCCACAGGCATGATGTGTCAGGGGAGACGGGTCTACATGGGTTTGTTTTACCTCTTCTTACTGTAAATTTCATACATTTATGAGAGCACCATTTTCAAAGTGTTGAACATCCTTTCACCTACTGCATTAGCCAAACAAATACGTGGAAGCACATATTCCTAGTTAACATGAACACTGCGTTTCTACTATTTACCATAGGATTGTTGCGATGATGGATAAAATGATCACACTGTGATGTGAGTGTTGTGATGCACTGATAAGCACTGTGACTCAAACTGGGCTTCCTGGATGTTATTTTGTTGTCTTACTGGTACTTGAAGCAACACACCACCACCAGTGCAACCCAGTAACTCGTGCCTGGTTTTGGTCTGACTGCCAGTTTGATTAGGATTTGCTCAGGTCTCTGTACCGCTCAGTATATACCACATACTGCATGGCTAATATTAGACTATTATTGTAGTTTCCTGTACCAAGTTTAGGTCACTTGACTAGGTAACTAACCAACATAAAACACAATAAAGAGCATAAAAGTATCCATGGCAACATTTAGGCAGCATTAGGACCCCAGTGCAGTTCTTATGACCTCTCTATACTCCCTTATATCCTTTGTTTTTACAGTAATTATTATCAATTGTTGAGATCAAGTCAAAAATTAAAAGGCACCAGTAAGTGTTTCCCAAAATTAAAGCCACATTATCCACGTTTCACATTTCTTTTGCTACCTTTTTGTAAAGTCTTCAGTAAAGTGACAGCTTTACTGAGACTTTACTCGGTTATTGATGATGCCAGTCGCTCAAAAGTCTCAATATTCAGTTAAAAGCTGAAAGGACTGGGTTTCATTTCGTTTCTGTTGGAGTGGTTAGGTAGCGTGACTCTCAGCTTTCACGTTTTCTTGTGTTTTGGACCAACCCAGCAGCTCAGCAGATAAAAAATGACGGTCCACGAACATTCACAGTTGCTGGATTATTGAATTTCCTGCACCCTTCAGTGAAGTATACACATCAAGAAGTTTTTTTCATTTTTATTTCATGCGCAACCATTTCATGCTTGAGCTAAAAGTATTTTGCAAAGCACAGTTCCTTTTTGGCAAACCGCTGTGTCAATACCAGCAGGTCTAACTTCTGCACCACAATGATACCTTCTGTCCTGAGTGAAGTCATCAACGCTCACCACAGCTGTGTGTTTCTACTGCAGCTCTCACCAAGAAAGAAATTATTAGTGTTGATATAACCTTGTTCCAAACAAAGATTCAAGGCCTGTTTACATGAACGCACACCCCTCCATGAAACCTCAACATCTTATTGGGGCATATTTACGCCTGGCGAGTGTATATTCATCCGGTGAACGAAGACGACAGTTTAAAATCCACAGACCGCCCCGTGTAAACATTCGATGTCTTAAAGAGGCGCTGGCTGGTTTAAGCAAGGCCACGTGAAAGGAAATGGCTTCCATATGTCAGGAGCTCAGGCTTTCCTCGTGCCCTGTTTGCAGGATGCCTTCTTTGAGGGTTAACAGGAATTATAAACCTACAAAGGGAAGTAGAGGAGCGAAGGGGGGAAAGTTTTCTCTCTGGTAAGAAGAAGCCTGCAAACCCTGCGGTACGGCTTTGATGTAAATCTCAAATCAGGTGTAACTAAGACGCTACTTCTCTGGCACACACCTCCACAAACATCAGCACACACACACACACACACACACACACATACACACGGGGGGGGGGCATTCCTGCACACATACACACACACTCACACTGCACGTTGTCAGATTACTTCCTTTCGTCATGTTGATTAATGCACGCTGGCAGATGCTAAGACGATCACGGCCCTGCAGAGAGCGGCTGAACGCGGAGGATCGGACACTCTCCAGCTTTTTCTCTCGCATGCACAGAGCCACAGCTCTCTCTCCTCCGGACCATCCATCTCTCTGCTGTCCTCCTCAAATCCCCTCACACCTGGCTCTGCACCCCTCGAGACCTCTTTTTCTCTCCTCCCTCTGTAACTCCCCCTCTGCCCTAACTCTTCCCTGTCCGCCTTTCCCTCCCAATTCGTAGCCCATATCTTCGCACACTCCCTCCTCCTCCTCCTCTTCTCGACTACTGTTCGTGCTCTGCCTCTCCCTTACACCCTCTCGCCACAACTCTCTCCCCTCCTCAAACTTCTCTTTCCCCTTTTCACCTTTCAACAGGCTCAAATCCCCCCCCCCTCCCCCGGTGCCACCATCTTCCTGCCAGTCAACATGTGTGCTCTTGTTTCTTTTGTTTTCTGACCACCTCCTTTTTTTTCCCCCGGTACTCCCAGCCTGCCAGTGGAGCTTTGTTCTTATTCGCTAAGTTAATTGGAAAAACAAGGCAAAGCAGAGGCATTTAGCCAGGGTCAGCGATGGGAGACACAGCCAACGCATGACAGGGTTAATCAGTGTCATGGCAGCCGGAGTGGGTGTCTGGCTCTCCTCAAACAGGCATGTGGAGGGCCAGACGAGGAAAAAAAAAGTTCTTATTTCTATACTGAAAATGTATAAAATGTCACACGCAGCCGTTTCAGGGGCACAGAGATATATCCGCGCTGCATTAAATGGACCCTTGTACACGTGGAAATTTCAGCATTTTAAATGAATTCCTCCGTTACACTTTCATAATAAAAAAGTCAGATGCAGGACATGGTTATTTTTCTTCTTTTGTCTCATGTCATGACGAAGCAGGTTTCCCTCCCTCTCAGCTACACGTGTGCGCACGAGTGTGTACGTGCATGGTCAGTGCCATGTGACATCAAAGTGAGCGTCACTCGGCAGCTGTGTTGTGATGTGTGTAAATGAGGCATGTAATGGTGGCATGTGGGCACATGGCTTGCTTATCGTAAACACACCTTTCTCACACACACACACACACACACACACACACACACACACACACACCTGTTTTGAAGTGCACACGGTTGCCCTCAGCGTGGCCTGCAGGGGTGTGGAGGAAGTAAAACATTTCTCATGAGTTGTTTTTTTTTTTGACAGCAGACGTGCAGAAACACACAAATCAAATGGAGGTGAACAAAAAAAAAAAGAAGAAGAAGAAGAATAACATGTCCCATTGTGTTGCAGCGTCAGATATGATCCCTACAATCTGTCACCTTTAACAGCAAGGCTTTTACTGAGATCCCCTCCCAGGACGTCCCCTCCTGAGAGGGCTACTGTCTTTCTCTCACATACACCTGCTTCAGCATCACTGAGACATGTTGTCACACACTTGAACACAGAGAAGCTTTTCAAATCGTCCCATAGCCCCTTTGGGCTAATTACAGAGAGGCTCCTGAAGACAAAGTTTGTATGTGTGAACGCCTGTGTACATATATGTCCATCCTCAAAGTGTGTGTGTGTGTGTGTGTGTGTGTGTGTGTGTGTGTGTGTGTGTGTGTGTGTGTCTGGCTTGGTGTGTGTGTGTGTGTGTGTGTGTGTGTGTGTTGTTTCCGCTCCTCAGTGCTCATTATTGGCCCTGGCCTGAGCTCTTTCATTAGGGGGGCTGAGAAATGGAGGGACGAATGGGCCGGTAGGGGATCAGGGGACGGGGTGGAGGTTGTAATTGGGCTGTTCCGCTCCCCCTTTCCTTGCTCAAGGTCACTGTGAGACAAACTCCGGGCCAGGTCTCTCACTCTTTCTCCTTCTCTCTCCTGTCTTTTTTTTTTTCACTCTTTTCCATCTCTCCTCCTCCTCCTCCTCTTCCTGCTCACCTCCCTCTTTAAAACCCCCGCTTTCTCTCTCTCCCTCCCTCCTCCGCTCATCCTCTCCTTCTCCTGGGGTCTTTTGTCACAGTAGACTGGTCCACTGGGGAGCCACAGAGAAGTGGAGGGGCTAATTCAGTCTAATCTCTTAGCCTGTTAATGTCTGGCTGATATGTGGATTTCTCCACATCCTCAGGGGACGGCCTTTGTGGTGAAGGCCATCATTATGAAGTTTCCTAGCCCTCCTAGCCAATTATAAGAAGGGAGACAAATTAGTTCATCTCAAACTTGGCTCATAAGAAGTTTTCCTGATTGTTCTCAACTTTATTTCACATCTCATACAATAGAGACGATTCATAGTAAAGTTTTTTGATAAAGAGAACGGCCCGATGTGCAAATGTGCAAAGATTGTGCATCTTGTGTGAGACTCGCTGGTGGATTTTGTACAACGTTGTATCAGTCATGTGCAATCCTGTACATGGCCTCAGCTCAAAGCCAAGTTTGAAGCCATCTAGAGTAAAGTGGTGTAGCGTTGCTTGTCTGGCGCTGGCCAGCGGTGAGCTCGGTCTAACGTTTCCCTCTGATTAAGACGCAGTGGTGAAAGCTGCCTTTGATCTGAGGAAATGTCTGCGTAGGGAGCAGTTGGAATGCAGCGCTCTCCTCTCTGCCTCGCAGACGGAGGCAGAGAGATAGTGTCACAGTCCATTTGTCTGGCCTCGCCACCGCCAGTCCACCCACGGTAGTAAGACCGGGGTGTTCAGAGGCCGTGCCTGTCGGAGCTGTGGAGACAGCTGAACACATATGTTTTGTTTACACAGAGTTGGTGACGAGCTGAGTCGAATCAGAACATGCTGCTGTTCCACATGATTGATTAGTCTGATTGCTGTGAGCACACTTAAAAAAGTTCACCTCATTCAGAAGATTCATGTCATGGTTTAACTTTTCCACATCTTTCCTGTTATGTTTTAGGTTTTCTGCCTTCGCAGCATTGTTTATAATGGCAGAAAATGTTCAAACTTCTTTCATACTCTAATCTCCAAATTGGTTTTCATGTGCTTATCAAACGAAAATCAGTCCAGTCAGCGTCAGTGTTTACAGCAATCTCATGCATTTTCCTCAGGAAATCCGTTTGATTGCTTTAAGTTTGTTTAAAAACTTCTTTTAAAATTCTGTATTTCTTTTTCCTCTGTGTGTTTCTGCAGGCCTCCTGCGCTGGCGGGCAGTCCGGCTTTCTCCGACATCTCCCTCATCCGGATCTCGCCACAGCGGAACCCCTCCGTGGGGGCGGAGTCGCCCTTTCACCCTCCACACCCCTACATTAACCCATACATGGACTACATCCGCTCACTCCACAGCAGCCCCTCCATCTCCGTTCTGTCAGCCACCCGGGGCCTCAGCCCTGCAGATGGTGAAATGAAACACACACCGTCGCACAAAGCATGATGTACATACAGTATATACACACTCACTGCACGGTTGCACGCTCAGTGCACACATGCACATCTGCACACACGCTCAGCAGAGCAGAAATGAGCGACAATGCCTCGGTAGACCCTTAAAAATAATTGTTGGAATTGATTAGTGGAGGTTCGATCGCTATTAGGAGGAATCTCGATTCTCCGTATCAGTGTAATTCTTGTTTGAGATCAGAGGAGGTCAGGTGAGAGGCAACTAGATCCATCTCTATTAAGACCCAGGGGTTGGTGGGATGTTATCTGAGTGAGGGAACGGGTGCATGGGAGTATTATGAGTGCGCCGCGATCCGTGTGGGTGGGGGTGCAGGTTGGATGGAGGCTAATCCTTTTGATCTGTGAGTCATGTCAGAGACCTCTGGAGGATGCATCAGTGAGCGGCAGGGTCACGTACAGTTACATCGCGCGCGCCGAGGGAGGGTCGGATTCAAGTTCAGGGTTGGGTGGCGAGAGGGAGAGGCGGGGGTGGAGGGGGGGAGCGGTTGTTATGGTGTCCTACAGGGAGCATTTGTTTCCTGAGATCTCAGGATGGATTTGGACTGGGAAATCAATTAAAGTGGACACCGGAGCCAGTTCAATTATAGAAAAGATGCGGATACAAAATATCAATATTAGAAATGGAGGAAGAAAAGACACTATTTTTTGTTTGACTTGACAGAAAATTAACATTTACAACATATTAAGCAAAAATAGCTGCTTCTAGATTCTCAAATGATTTGTAAATTGAATGTCTTTGCACCGTTGGTTGGACAAAACAAGGAATCTTAGAATATCAGCATTTTTTTTTTTTTTACTATTTTCTAACATTTTATGAACGAATAATTAATTAGTTAATCGCCAATATGATCTACAGATTAATCAACAATGAAAAATACTTTTGTTACAGCTCTATCATCAACAAAACAAAGGTAAAACTACTGCAGATGATCATGCCATAAAAAGCATCCGGATCAAAGAGCTTATTTGCCAAAAATCCACGTTCACCACAAAGTTCTTGAAATGGTCTGATGACCTATTATGGCCCTCATGTCCTCACCCATCCAACTTTTGGCACTTAGGCAGCAGAGACCCACTTTAGCTCCCCCCACCTCCTCTTGAAGTGTATTTCAGAAGCGGCAGATAGCAGGGGCATTTCCTCTCCACCAGCGCACTCGCACTTCATCCTCATCCAGGTCTGTTAAAAGCGGCGTCTTAAGTGAAGACCGCGAGTCTTTGCTCACTCACTCAACCCGTCTCCTGCATCTCCCCAGCACCGCTCTGTGCGAACAGGAAGTGCAGACTCTCTACCCTCCAATTTTCCATTACCACAACATAATGTGCGCCAGTCTCAGCTTGCCTTAAATCAAAATAGTTTCTCCAACCTACCACATGATCCCCTTTCAGTTCATAATGCTGTGAATTGTGAATGAGGCACCTAATTACTCCTTTAATCAATCCGGTGATTAATTAACCCATCAGCTTTTGTGTTGTTAGTATATCACCACGCTTACAGGGAGCCTCCTTCTTCAATATGCAAAGATTTTTTTTTTTCTACCAAAAAGTACATTTGAATAATGATGAATTAATTAACAGAATCTAATGGAGATTTAAAGTGGGTGGGATTTAGTGCCACCCTCTTGCTGCCACACATTTGCTTTTTTTTTTTTTTTTTTTTTTTTTTTTTTTTCTTTTCTTTTGCTCCTCCCTCACAATATTCCTCTTTTCTGTGTGAGATGGGGTTCAGAGGTAAGGCTCGCCCCTGATCCTATTGTTGTGCCGAAGGAAGCACCTGGTGGCTCACCAAGTCCTGAGGCGCGTCTCTGCCTTCTCCACGTCGAGTGCCACACTGACAGCCTTTCCCCTCCTTCCCCCACCCCAACCACCACCACCACCCCCCCTCTTTTTGCCCCCAGGATGGCACTCGGATGCCAGCGTTTCTGATTTAGAAATTCCGCAAAGCCCTTTTCTGTGCGTGGATACTGAAAGGGCCACATTATGGTTGAATGCAAAAGCAAAGCTAAGGCGGAACAGAGGAGACAATTAAGAAACTCCCTCCTTCCAGTGAAGACATAATACCCAGATCGAATTAATTTAGAATTTTTTTCTTACATTCATTCAACCAATCATGGATGCATATTGCAGGCATACAGGCCAGCCTTAAGAGGAAATCTCCTCATACAGTGTTTCTTTATTTATTTTCTCTTTATTTCTTCAATTGGGGTTGAAAAAAAAAAAGAACTGCTGCACTCTGTGGGTCTGAACCGATTCCATATTTGCATCCAAAACCACAGTGTTAGTCTTTTCCCTCTCTCTTTCTTAGAATATTTGCATAAGGAAGCCCACCGCCAGATGTTTATTTTTAGGCTATGGTTCAAGGACTTACAGCACTCTATAACTAAGCGAACGACTTGAGAGAGAGAGAGAGAGAGAGAGAGAGAAAGGAGAGAGAGAGACACAGAGAGAGAAATGAAGTGGAGGCAGAATGGTTTGCTGTATCTTTACGTATGCAGATATATCTGGGCAGATTTAGGCCTTTTGTTTTTCCTATAGAGTTTAAAGGAGCAGAGTCGAGGAGCAGGTTGCATATCTGCAGACTGCAGCCCTGAATGTGTACAACACACAAGCACCATCTCTGGCAGAAGATGTGTCGGCCCACATACTCTTACCACACACACGTATATTTATATAAATATATATACAGAGACATGTGCGCGCTCTCCAAGTGATCAAGGAACAGTAAGAGGGAGAGAAAGGGCTGTTTAAGAATTGTATTGTAAGACGATCGGTTATGCTGTGCTCGGCATGAATGCATCAATCAAACACTAATGCACACTCACTGTAATCTCTGAGCAAGCATCCGGTAATCCCCAGTGAGGCTCTCCACTTCAGGTGATGCTCCCTGTGCAGCTGTTTTGCTTAACTTGATGGTGTTGCTAATGTGCTCATTACTGTTCTGCTGAGCTGATTATCATCTAATGTAAATGAATGCAGGTTTTTAATGCAGTGCAGGTGCTCTCCCTGTCAGGTTTTTCTCACCACCTAATAATTTTTCTCTCTTCCTGTGTTGTTGTTCCTCCACCCTCCCTCCCTCCTTCCCATTTTCTTCAAATACCTCCTCTCCAGCCACCGTTTCCTCGTCTCCCGATCTGTCACCTTCACTTTTTGGTTACCTTGTTTCCTCTTTGCTGACGTGAATGTTCTTCTTCTCCAGCCCCTCACACGAGTCTGACCACGGCTGAGTACTACCACCAGATGGCTCTGCTGGCGGGCCACCGTAGCCCGTACACGACCGACCTGCTCCCTTCTGTGGCGTCCACGGCCGGCGCCAGCAGCGCCAGCGCCCTGCACATGGAATACCTGCAGGCAATGGACAGTAAGTCTGCACTGATCCCACAAATGGCTCAGTGGTGAGTCATGTGGACGTGCACACACAAGCCCGAATCAGAGCTACAGTCCTCATCACTTGATGACATGAAGTCTAAAACTGATGCACAGTCACACTCATCACTCATCTCCTGGTTCTGTGAGAGATTTCATGGCCATGGGAGTTTTCAGCACTTTACCATAAAGATGCAAACATCAAGTTTTCATGAGCTTTTAAAAACAACCCCCCACATCCGTGCCTACTGGGACTGCACCTTAAAGTATTATGAGTGCATCCCTCCACATTATAGCATGGGTGGCCCCAGTGGGAATTCAACCCTTAAAATGCACTTTCACAATACACCTATCATGTACTATATATAGATCAAGCTGCAGCTCAACCACAGCGAGGAGGGACCTGCAACTTTTACTTTGACATGATTTAAATGAGCTATTGTCTTAATGTGTTGGGCCCAGGACTGTGTGCAGAGGACTTATGCTAATGAGTTATTTTAAAGTGTAAATAGGAAATTAAACGCACACTGAATCTTAGAAAGGTCGGACAGCCTCACCCCGCTCTCTTTGATGAGAATGTATTTAGTCAGGCAGACGCCGCTTTCATGGAAATCCGGGGTGAAGTTCCCCCTATTCCTCCGCACAAACTAATTAAAACTAGCCAAACTTGTGCGGGTATCAGAAAATTAATTGCTATTAAGTGGGAATTGGAATGTCCCACCATTCATCACTGGAGAAATCCTTTCTTCTGTGTCACTTTTTAAGATTAATAGACTGAAACAAAACAATTAGGGCCAAATTTAAGTGGAGATGCGGTGCTCCTCACTTAAAAATCGCCTGTGATCATTGCTGGTAATAACTCATCATGTTTCAACAATGTGTGTTCCAACGCCGGAAAAATTAACACTTTAAAGCTTTGTTGGATTTCAGAAAAGAAAGAAGAAGAAAAAAAAAAACATACAAAGAGCAGAGTCTATCAAGAGGCTTTCACTGATAATCTGGGCTACCATGTTACTGCGGCTATTTTAGTATTTTTCACATCAGTGTAATTACCTTCAGACAGAGCTGTGCTAATGAAACAATGGGCCTGTCCTGCCTATTTGTGCTTTAATGGGCTATTGTCTACGTTCTTACTGCCTAATTAGTGCCATAGCTCTCACAGATCACTACACTAAAGTCTTTATGAGATAATTTAAATCTCCTTTATTTTTTTTTCTACTAATATTAAGTTGTTTTTCTTATTAACAGGTTTACTTTAACTGGAACTGTTTTATATGACCTGATTAATTGCAGTTATTAATAATATGGTAATACTTTTCTTTAAGTCCCTGTACTTAGCATTTATAAACATTCAATAAATACACAGATAATGAACGACAACAAAGGAAAACACAGTCAATAATGAAAAATATGTCTTTATAGGAGAAGTTATACTGTAGATTAATTACACATTAAAGTGCATTATGAACTGCTTATTAAATGTTAATAAAATACTGCTTATAAATGCTAAATAGGGGAACTTTAAGTAAAGTGTGATAAAATATACTTCTATTTTAGCAAATAATTCGGATCTTTACATCTCCTCATCAAGTTTTATGTTGCATGGGAAAAAAAAAAAGTTCTGGATAGTCTTAGTGACACTATAACCCTCCCCTGTGAAAGCCTCCCTCTCAGGTGGCCCCCAGGTGTGTCAGCGAAGGGTTCAACCACACTTTTGGTCCTGGCTTTTATTACGAACGCCGTCAGTCCGGCCTGTCTGCCCCCCCCCCCCCCCAACTGACCGTGAGAATTAATGACACGGCGTGTAACCAGCCATTGCGTTCATAAATCAAGAGGAAATTAGAGGGACAGTCCTGCTACGATCCAGGACGCTCCTCTCTCTCTCTCTCTCTCTCTCTCTCTCTCTCTCTCTCTCTCTCTCTCTCCGGTTGGCCGATTTATCATTTGGGCTGCGCATTAATAAACACCACTCCCATGAGGCTTTGCAGTGGTGGGGACGCTGGCCCTGCTCCTCAGCAATAAGCCCCCCTCCCCTAATTCCCCACAAGTGGAGTCCGTCTCTCACGCTCATGTGGATTTGGCTTGTGTAAAAAATGTCAGGTGTGTCACATTTTGAACGTTGAAAGTTAGATTTGTCTAAACAGGATAATAAATATATTAGATTTATGATTTGAGATGACTGAAATAGTGGAGCATCAGACATGTCGAGGAACGTCACATGACTAACTACATTGTATTTAGCGATTATGTGTGCTCAGGGATTTGTATGGGTATATGTACGCTCACCCCCTCTCCCCCCAAAACCCCCTTCTCTAAGACACAGAAAAAGACAGATTTTCCATACAATGACAATGTAAAGGGGGTGTCGCTCTCCACGCGGCTTCGTGCTGTGGTTGAAACTCAGGACTACGTATGCCAGAACACCGCCGCTGCCGCCGCAGACGCATTCTACACACACACACATTCACATCCACACACTCTGATTACCATGTGAATGGAGCGCTCTGTAATCGTTGGATGTGTCAAACGAGAGATGGAGCATTTACGTTTTGGGAGATGGATGGATTGTGGGGGACGTAAATATGGAGGGGGGTTATTGGGGCTGCGTAAGCTGGTTTTGTTTGGCTTTATAAAATAACTCAAAATGTTTTATTTCCAAGTCTTGAGTCACAAAGTCATTGTGTCAGTTCATGCACAAAGCGCGACATCCCCTCAGCGCTTCTTTCCCCTCCTTCCATCTCCCTCTGTTTTTCCCTGTCTTGTTTGTGACATCTCCATGTGAAAAGACAACAAAAGTCATGTTTTAATCTCTACCCGTGGCTCATTGTATGTGCAGAGAGAATGGTTGCGCTGTTTTCCGCCTTTTACCTTTTCAAACCCCCTTTTACTATTTCCAGTCAACACTGATTGCATTTGAATAACGAGTCAAATTGGACTTGATTAAATATTACCATACACAGTCAGAGCATTTCTCCAAAATAAAAGGCATGTTTTCTCATGGATGAAATGCAAGCAGTGCATCAAGTGACAGCCGAACACTCATACAGATGAGCCTTTTGTCTGATGATTGACAAAAATGTCATCTGTTAGGGTTAGATTAGGTTAGAGTTTGGATGAAGTCAAACAGAAAATCATGTAGACACCAGCAAATGCTCTTTTTGTGATCTGTAACTCATTTGTAGGAATTTAGCCGAGGCACGGCTCCAAAAAACATGGAATGAGGGAGCAGATAAGGGTTCGTGTACAGTTTTACAGGCAATTTTAACCTCTCACTTCCACAGCAGCCACTTGGCAGTCAGTTCTTTTCTCATACCTTACTCTAAAAAAAAAAAAAAATCTCCTCCTCTTCCCTCATCCTGCAGGCTCTCGCTTCCCGAGCCCGAGGCTGCCATCACGGCCCAGCAGGAAGCGCCCCCTGCCCATCTCGCCCCTTTCCGAGCACAGCTTTGACCTGCAGACAATGATTCGCAACTCGCCCAACTCTCTCGTCACCATGCTGAACAACTCCCGCTCCAGCTCCTCCACCAGCGGCTCCTACGGTCACCTCTCTGCTGGAGCCATCAGGTAGCGCACTGTTTTGAAAATCATCTTGCCTTGAAATATATTCCTACCGTGTGATCTTCCTTGTCCAGTTTTATTCAGCGTATTACAATCAAACACATTTTGAGACATGCAATAATGTTCATGCCATATATAATATTAAGCTTTACAAGAGTAAAGTTTGCTTGTTTCTAATTTCTACCCTTTTATTTTTATGTAAATTATATGGTTTATTATCAGTTTACTTCATCACAGAACACACCACAGTTGTATAATCTTCTGCGGCTCAGGAGTGAGTTTGACAAGATAACCCTGATGATGTCACAGTGATGTCATCATGGTGATCTCGGCTTGGCCGTAGTGCTTACTTCACGTTTCAGGCTGTAGAAAGCCTGCGTTTTAAAACTTGAGGGATGGGGTTGGAAAACAAAGTGTGTTTAGACATGGCGGGGGAGTGATGTAATGAAAGACACACCTATCAGGTTGCATTGTGGGGATCGTAGGATCCTGTGTTTCTGGAGCTTGAGGGAGTAAAAAAAAGGATATTTCTTTTCTGCTTTCTGATTTTGACCGTTGTTTTGTTTGAACCTGCCTGTTCCAGTGTCCCAGTTTTCTAGAAGTGCCACATGAAATCATCAGATTACCCCTTTAACGTTATAAAAAACAGCTATTATCCTGTCAGCATGTCTTTCAGGAAGTTTTGATTGACTGTGTTTCTTTCAAGGTGGTCGTTCTGGGACTCACATGTGCCAATAATACATCCAACAGCAGGATCTCCCCGCGGGGAACGATGTTTTAAATGATTTTCTAATATCCTTAATCGGTGTTTTTTCATAAAGCACACTTAGCAGTGAAAAACATGTCTCCCTCGGGATGGCGGCATGATAATTGTATAATACTGTAGTTCCATAGCATGTGTGTCAGAGAAAAAGGGCAAAGAAAAGTGTGTAGTGGAGCGAATAAGTGTGTGTGTGTGTGTGCATATCGTCCACGTCAAGCCCCCGTGTGGGTGACGATCTCCCAGCCAGCAAGTCAGCCTGCCTCCCCGGCGGCTCGTGTCAGTCATCCGGTACCCCTCATGGAAACGTCACATACATCACGCCCTGGAACCGGAGGCGAGCGAAGGGAAGCAAAAGAAAAGAGGAGAGAGGGGAAAAGGAAAGATCCATCGCCCCACCCACAGCCATTGATCAGCGATCTGTAAGAAGAACCTGATCAATCACGCCGCTTGCTCGGCCACTGTCCCGGTGACAGGACCCAAATAGCCAGAGCCAACAGACTGATGAGTGATATGACAAGCGGATGGGCCCCCAAATGTGTCTCGGCCCATTGATTTCCACTCGGCTCGTAATAAGATCAGCAGACATATGGGTCGCGGCCAGAGCGGAGCGTCAGGGCTCAGGATGAATGGAGGCCGCTGCTGTTGAGCCACACAGATCTGTGTTTATCTGGCGGTTCACCTGTGGTTATACAGACCCCAGAGGAAGTTCGGTGGCTGCTGGGATTTTTTTATTTTCTTTTTTTTTAGGATCAACAAAGTTAGCTCGGGATGAGGGTAAATAAACTGAGGAAACAACTCTGTCGCTCGAACAGGAACATCATTCTTCTTTATTTACAAGGCTATCGGACACACTCCAGATTGTTTATCATCTGTATCATTTGCCCAGTGGAAGAATGACATACTGCCTTACACAGACCACATGATAATTCACTGTGTGTTAACAAGCTGAACATTCATTGGCAGGGATTTGCCGGCAGCCCCGTGGTTCCAGCATTACCACAACATCTCCTGTCAGATTGTCCTCAGGGATGAGGAGCTATCCAGAACAATCCATTTATTCACCGTCTTCCCCCCTTTTTTGCCTCATTGACTTTGCAACTGATGTTCGAGTCAAGTTGAACTCGTAGTTTTATGATTATTTCATCCACTCTTCTGTAACCGGTTTGCTTTTCCCTCTTCCTGCTCTCTCCAGCCCGGCGTTAAGCTTCGCCTACCCTCCGACCCCAGTGGCTCTGCACGTGCACCAGCAGCTGATTGGCCGCCAACCGGGCATCGTGGGCTCCGCCTTCGGCCACAGCCCGCCCCTCATCCACCCGACGCCGGCCTTCGCCACCCAGAGGCCCGTACCCGGCATCCCCCCCTCTGGGCTCAGCGCCAGCGAGCGCTCTGTCGTCTCCAACGACTCCTCACAGGTGAGAGAGCGTCGGCAGGCGCCCGTGCGATTCATCATCACAGGTAATAGATAGCGGCGTTGCATGCCAGCCGCATCCCGGGCGAAATGCAGCGAGCTAACGTGGTACAGGCAGGACCCCCCCTCCACGTGCTCGTCTCAAGGGAGTTTCCTCCTACTTGTGTTGTCTCTTGTTTTTAGACTGCCGAGCACGCCCCAGAACGTGCCTGCAGCAAACAACAAGGGGCTTGTTAGCATAGAATCCCACTGCTGACTCCATTAATCACTAGAGAGAGAACAAGGATACAGAGAGGGAATATTGACATGGATGGATGGATCCAAAGGGACTTTTTCCTCTCCTTCCTCAACCCTTACTGTATGTGCGGGCCCACATTTGAAGTGAATATTCAGTGTTTATTACTGGTCTTCCCCGCAATTTCCCATTGCTTGAATTTTGTATTATCGTGAATGGGGCCTCATTCATTAATGAGCAGGCCAAAACTGCCTTTTCCTCCTTGTGAATAAACAGAGTCTTGCTTCGGGGGCCACAGCTGGATGTCGTATCTTTCTGCAAAGATAGATGCGTTACAAAAAGCAGAGACTGACGGGAGCGAGTGTCAGTTTCCAGGAACAACAACAGAAAACCAATAACTATCCATAACTTAAAAACCTTCACCTTAATTCTTTTATTATATGGTGAGTTTGGCTTGTAGCAAGAAATCCCCCCAGGGGCAAAATGAAAGCAGGGCCACAGTCAGGTCATCCATTGGTTCAGAGAATGCTTCATTGAATTCATGAGTTTGTTTTAATTGCACTGATTAGAGCAGCTAATGTTTTGCATAGTTTATCATTAGCATAATTAGTTAAAGATCTTGCCTGGGACTGATACAGAATCATTATAGTTCAACCACAGTGTTTTTTTTTCTGCTTGATTAAGGTGCTGATCGATCGACTTCTGAGCCTCGTGCATTTTTAATAACACTACAAACGATAAAACGAGAGATATCAGGAAGTTTAAAAAAAAAAAAAAGTGATTGTCTCTATAGTCGACACTTTGCCATTGGAGCCTCAAAATGATGAAATCAAATATTTTCCACAGACCAAACCAACGAGTGAATCTGCTGTGAGCAGCACAGGAGACCCGATGCACCACAAACGCTCCAAAATGAAACCAGAGGAAGAGTTGCCGAGCCCAGGTGCAGTGAGCGTACAGGTGAGGATTGTCTGCATTTATTAATAATATTTACATTTATTTTGAGTCATTGAAGACATTCTTCAATTTGCTGGCAAAATAAGAAGTATCATACTGCAAACTGGATGGTAATCCCAGAATTCACCAGCCTGTTTTTATTTTTAGATTCTTGAACTAGAATCAGAAGCCTATATAATAGCTGGTTACCGGCCAAAATGGCTGCAACAATACACAAGCTTACCAGCCACAGCCTGTATTTATTTACCTGCATTCTGCTGTGTGTTGGTGTTGGTTTCCCACCCTGTTCTTATCAGTTTCAGTTTCCGAAGCAAAATAATCCATTGATCTTTGGGACACTGGAAGGAAATTGTTTTTGCTTTTCTTTCTTCTTTTTTTTTTTTTTTTTTTTTTTTGTAAATTTTAAGTGGCTGGAAAAATGAAAGAGAAATGTGATAACAGTAAGTGTTGCATCTGCAGGAAAAACCCTACTAGAGTTGATATTCAGCGGCAGATGCAGCCTGAGGTGTGTGGTGGAAGCTGCAGCCTTCTCCGGTGTTAGCCCACACCAACTCTCTGCTCTGCTCAGCCACCTCTCTGTGACAGTGAAATATGTCTGGGCTAATAGAGCAACCTACAGCAGGAAGAGGGGGTTAGATTCCTCAAATACTCGCCCCAGTCCTGTCGTATAACAAACCCCCAAACACAGAGCGGGGCTTTCAGCGCTACATTTCCGCTCTCCACACTTTTCTCCCAGACAGCCAAACAAGGCCAGATTCACAGGGGCACTGAGGCTGAGGCCTGTAACCAAATCATTTTTGGCTGTAAACCAGCAGGGAGGTAAAAAATGACTTTTCTGACAGATTTGGACGGACTGATGCTGGGGAGAGGAAGGCAGTTCCTTTAGCCTTTACAGCCTTTGCTTTTAAATCAGTTTATTTGCATTATTTTCATTATATTACTTCGCTTGCTGCACTGCCTGCTGAGCTGGAACTTTTTCGCTTTTTCAGGACCATCCTGACGGCATGACCCTGGTGAAGGAGGAGGGAGACAAGGATGAGAACAAACAGGAGCCAGAGGTGGTTTATGAGACGAACTGTCACTGGGAGAACTGTTGCCGCGAGTTTGACACGCAGGAGCAGCTAGTACAAGTGAGTAACACACACACACACACACACACACACACACATAGAGATACATTTAAAAAAAAAAAAAACAGTAGCATGAGCTTCTTTTTCTAAACGTAACCCCAGTTGTTCTCCAGGACCAATTTGATGTAGGGAAGCAGGGAGACACAACAGGAAGTTTGCCGCTGTAAGATGAGTGAAACGGAAAACCACAGTGTGTGCTGGTTTCTGTGCTGTGAGAGTTTTCACAGTAGCATCAACAGCAGCTGTACTACTCTGGACAATGCCTCCTATCAGGCCACAACCCCTGCCTGCGTGTCTGTGCAGCGGCAGCCTACAGTCGAGTCAGAGCTGCAGGCACCGACTGATATTGGCGCTGGATTCCTGATTGGATCCAGGGACGGTGGTAATGGGCTCAAAAGCTGGAGAGCACATCTCACAGCTGAACTGTGCTAACTGATTTGGTGGGTTAAGCCTCCCAGAGTCAGGATGTGAGCTTTGTGGACTACACTGGACCGGCCCTCCTCCTGTCTGTTATCAGAACTCTCACACAGCCCGGGAGATGGATGGCTCTCATCGCACTGCGCCCGAGGGTTCGCTGTTAAGCTAAATATTAATGACATTACGGTCGTATCACCCCCACTCTGGCTACTTACACTGATGCTATTAGCTCTGCTGCTCTCTCGCGGCCTGTGAACCGCTCACCCGTCAGCCGGCCGAGAGAGAGAGCACGCTGAAGTTTTGAGAAACGGCAAAAATACACCAATATCATGCTGCGAACAAGGGATGCTGGAGTGTGCGCACGCGTACGCGCACAACACACATCAGCACACATCTGATAGAAAGATCCTCAGCTCTCCACAGCTGTCTATTTGCCGTCTTGACATTGCAATCCTCAGCCGCGGTGGTAACCCCTATCTATAATTGATATCCTCAGCGCGGAATGGGCTGCCTCCCGTGTTTGAAGGGCTCGGCTCAAAGGTTGAGGATCTTGACAACTTCTTGCCCCTGTTTCAGAGGGCGGGATGAGTTAAGGTGGTGGGAGAGGGGTGCGATGATGGCTTCTTAATAGAGGAAAAGCTTTGTGCACATCCTCTCCCATACTGTAGTCACAGCAGGTGGCCATCCAAACAAAGCACCGTCCTCCCATTCCTCCACATATACCATCCAGCCTAACCTTGCCAAGCTGCACTCATTATCAGATTGCTGCGGAGACACACACCGACAAAATCCTTATTAGTTAGTTTTCCATTTTTTCCGTCTTGGAATTGTTTTTTTTTTTTCTTTTTCTTTTTCCATCATTTGACTTTGTGATATTGCATTTTATTTCTCATTTTCTATGCACATGCAGATATGCAGAGAGATGCCAATAAAAGTCTTCGCCTACAGAATCCCTGCCCTCTAATTCAGCAGAGCGGACGAGAAAATGCTCTTATCTCTCCACACCCCCACCCCCCTCAGTAATAGGATAAGTACAGTATTTGGACCACAGTGGCTCTCCTCTCACACTGGGAGGGGTTTGGGGGTGGGGGGGATTTCCATATAACCAAACAATGGAGCGTCCCTTCCCCCTGTACTTGTCTTCTGAAATGGCTTTGGGGAAAAAAAACATGATGAGGAAAAAAAAAAAAAAAAAAAAGCCAGCTTCCTCTTGGCTAGAACCATTTTCACCACTCGCTTTTGTGCAAAGTTGAAACACGGATTGACACTCAGCAGTGGTAGTCTTTAAACAGTTTGTCTGCTGTGTTGACAGTTGTGAAAAAAAAAAAAAAAAAACGGGCTTTCTGAAGTATTAAAAGTAGCAGCTGCACTGATTCAAATATCCCACTTCCTTTGTGCTTGGCCTAATTTTAGAATTAAGCCTTCACACCACCCTCATCGCTTTCCACCTTGTTCAAAAGCACTCCTGCCGCGCTCTTGATGCATATTTTTACACTCTCAAACGTGCTCTCACCATGACATGCCACGGCGTTCCTTTATCATCCGCGTTTAAGCGCTCTCGGTGCAGCCGATAAGATAAACATCAGATCTATGCAATTTAGCTCACTTATCTGGCCTACCCAGTCAGCAAAAGCGAGGCGGGTGTCAATTTTAGTTTAGCTGTATTTATTTCATTTATTACATTTCAACTCTCATACCTCTCCCATCTCCCTCTCCACTCAGCTCCACATTCTTGTGCTTCCCCATTTTTGGGCACAAACCTCTCCCTCTCTCATTTTCTCTTTCATTTTCTCTCCCTCCCCTCTTTCCCCCTCGGAGGGAGCACTTTTAAAGATAAGGCCTGGTGGCTTCTTTAATGTCTCTCTTCTGAAGTGGGCTTTTTTCACTTGGGTTTGTCGCCGGAGATGCCAACCCCACACTCCCATAATTCCCTAATATGGCCTTGCTCAACAATCTTTTATTATTTTCTCATTGATCTATTACTGATACTTCACCATGGAGAAACCTGCGAGGCAAGCTATGCATTTTCACTGCTGTTGCGTGATGGGAAAAAAAAAAATGAATGTAAACCACATCGTCCTCTGCATGGCAAAGCGTTTTTCTCAGTAAGAAGTGGCTGTAGAGCTGCTGGATATAGAGGGACATGAAAGGTGATTAAATTTAAATAAAAGCATAAAAGCTGATTGTTTTTTCATCACATTGATTTGTTAGATGAATTAGTGTTAAATATTATTTTTGAGCTTTTAAAAAAAACAATTTTCTGTGATTATCTATTGAAAGTTTATTTACCTCAGGGATTCTCGTTGGCTGTCGACCTTTTCCGGTCGGTTCAGGTTCTGTCCTGTCACCGTGAGTCGCTCGCAAGCAGCTGATTTTGGAGGATGACTATATGTGATGTGGGGTGTGTGTGTGTGTGTGTGTGTGTGTGATAGGGTTGGTGGTCTGCATGTGTGTGTTCTCAAAGCTCATCAGGCCTTCTCTACCCACCACAGTGTACCGCTCCGTTCCAGGTCATCTAAATAGGGTGGCGTTGTGATGTCCTTGTTCGTAGGTGGGGAGCCGGCTCTCCCTGGGTGCAGCCTCGCCGAGGCGGCTGCTGTGCGCCCTCCCCGGTGTTACGGGGAGATAAACGCGGGCGCAGTCTGAAGGCGGCCCCCCTCTCTGGCTGCTGGCACAGGCCTTTAATTGGTAAAATGCAGATTTTTTTTGATCAGGAGAAGGATTAGGCCCCTTATCTGTCTAGAGTATCTTACTCTAAGATGAAAAGACTGCGCTGAATTACACATGCCAATTTCAGCTCCCTGCCCCCTGCTCGCTCACGCTCTTACTCTCATCCACCCTCCTTCCCTCACTCACTCAATCTTTCCCCCCTTTTACTTCCTCCCTCCCTCCCTCCACCCTCCCTCCACCCTCCCTCCCTTCTTTGCCTTTTTCATGCTGTTTTTTCCTCTCTCTTTACACAAAGCACTTCAGCAACTGACATCACAAAAGAGCATATGATTTATTAGGCAGTGTTTGATAAAGCTAAACGGTGTTGCGGGTCCCACAGCTTAGTGAAATTGCCTTGTAAACAGGCCCTCTTTTCATGCACGCTTGCATTCTAATGCATGAGGGCTGTGTCCCAGAGAGGGTTTGATAAGGAGACATGGAGATGGATACTGAAGTGGGCAAAATGCATGGAAATAGCAAAAACAAACAAAAAAAGGAAGAAGATAGGATTCTGTGTCTTACAGTAATGCGTGTAGAGATGTGTGGGTTTGAGCGTTGGCAGAGAGGGACAGAAAATAATTTGAAATCAGAGGCTTTTATTTTTTTTTTTACCACCAATCCAAGTATTGAATTGTTTGTGTGTTTTTATGCTATTTATGTTTTGGGGAATTTTTGCAGCAAGATAAAGAAAACAGTGCTTGCACCTGTGTGTATGTATGTATGTATGTATGTATGTGTGTGTGTGTGTGTGTGTGTGTGTGCACCTCTCATACGTCACAGACGGCTTCAGTGTCCCCTGTGTCCGTGTCGCTGGCGCTCCCTGTCGTGCGACTCCCTCCTAAATCCATCTTGGTGGCGTTTTTACAGTTGTTGGCCGATAAGCTGGCAGGGGGAAGATGAATAACCTGCCGCGCCGCCGCTATCAGCACCTGTTTGTCGATTTAGCCGGCCAACGGGGCCTGTCTGCTCAGCATGGAGATTATTGATTCAATAAGAATTGCCATTAGATCATGCCATTAGGTTTCTCTGCGGCCCCTCTCCCCGTGCTGTCTGCCCCCCCCTGTCAGCTCAGAGGCTCATGCATCACACCCGTCAACGACCTCCTTCATTTGTACAAACAGGGTGCGAGCGTGTATCCATCAGTGTGTGTGTGTGTGAGTGTGTGTGTGCGTGTGTGCGTGCGCTCGTGTCGGTGCCAGCCACCGGCGTGATCCAGCACCACTGCGCTCTCCCATCGCTCTCAGCCCGGGGATATTGAACGCTGCTCACAACAGACCGATCGCTTGCCACAGGGATTCCCTCACAGAGAGGAAGAAAAAGAGAAGACGAGTCAGGTTTTCTGAGGCTCTGACCGAGCCGCGGGAGGAGATCAATCTTGGGGAAACTTCACTAACGTCTGTGGTCATCCAGTCCCCAATCATTTCCCCTGGAATTAGTCTTGTTTTGTCACTTTAAAATTAAAAAAATGTCAAGTGAGAATAATGGAGGTCCTTTGCGGATATATTAGTGTCAGTCTCACTCTTTGCTTTTGCTGTCGCACCCTGCTGTTACCACGCTGACTCATTTGTTGACACTCCTCCTTCACTGGGGGTGGGAGGGGGGGTGCAGTGGTTTTGTAGTTAGAAGAGACTCGGGGTCAAAATGTGTTGGGGGGAAAAAAAGATTAAAGATTAACAGTAGGGCGCATAATGGTGAATGTCATGGTTGTAGTTCTGTGTGGGGTCATGATCTGGCCAGTGGGCAGGGCGTTAGGAAAGTACAATGATGCCATTGTGAGAGCAGTGCGATGCCCAGAGGGGAAGTGACCCTGGATACTTTATTTGCTTTGGTCCTGCATGTTTTATAGCTCAACAATCTTGCGAGTAAGTGCTCAAAGAAAGCATGTTTTCCCCAGACGTTTAAGGAGCATTCAGAGTCAAGTCTCTATTTATCCTCCTTCCTTCTCTCCTGTTGCCATCCGGCTCTCTTCATTCACCCCCAAGGTAAAAAGACTCTTCTCTGCTGCTCAGGAATGTAATAATACCGGTTTTCTTTTGGTCAGGATATTGTGTCTGTCTCCCTGGGTTTAAATTGCTCTCGGAAAGGCACTTCAGAGGCCACCACACAGTGTTGTCTATGAAAGACAGCCAGATGTTGACTTCATCCCCAGAGGGTCTATGTCTGCATGTACTTTTTTATTTTTTTCTCTCTCTCTCTGCACCTCCTTCATTCCTCTGTAACATCCACCACTTAGCCCGTTTTACAAGACAGTTAGTGGGAGAAGAAGAAGAAGAAGAAAAGACGGGAGGAAAAGGAAGAGAAAAATGGGCTGGAGCGAGAGAAAGGTGGTGCTCACAGATATAATGCTTGGCTGGAGTTTGCAAAGCCCCTCGCATTTCAGTTCAGATGCCTCGACTGAACTTTTGATTTCTCACCCTCATCTCCTCACCTCCCTCTCACCTCCCCTTCTTTCCTAAGCCTCAGATTGGAAGTTGCCACGGCAGCACAACTGTCAGCACTTGTCATGGAGGGGCGAGGGGCCCAATGTGATGCGAAGTGACAGGGTTTTATTTGAAAATCCTGTTCAAATCGGACACTGAGACTCACAAGTCTTGTGCCTTCCTCGCCCGTCTTTGTGCAGATCTCAACAGAGTGATGGAAGGAAAAAAGAGAATGGCTGGAAAGGAAGGAAAGAGTTAAGAGAAATGAGATGGAAGAAATTAAAAGAACCACATGCAAAGAAATGGAAAATGGGAAATGCATCATTATATTTGTCTTTCTGGGGAGAAAAAAAATTCCCTCAAACCGATCAACAAATCAACATGACATAGCACTTACTTCATCGTCATGCACAGACACAGCAAGAGCTTCTAATAATGCAGCAACTGCTTTGAGTTTAAGTTTCTCTCATCTTCTTTTCTAGCACATCAACAATGACCACATCCATGGGGAAAAGAAGGAGTTCGTGTGTCGGTGGGAGGAATGCTCTCGAGAGCAGAAGCCCTTCAAGGCACAGTACATGCTGGTGGTCCACATGCGCAGGCATACTGGGGAAAAACCACACAAGTGCACAGTAAGGATACTCCTATTTGCTCAGTTGACTTCATTTATTTGCAGATTTATTTATTTATTTTTTACATGTAACCTGCCAACGTCTTCTTCCTGCAGTTTGAGGGCTGTACCAAGGCCTACTCCCGTCTGGAAAACCTTAAGACTCACTTGCGTTCCCATACGGGGGAGAAACCGTATGTGTGTGAGCACGAAGGCTGCAACAAGGCCTTTTCCAACGCCTCAGATCGGGCGAAACATCAGAATCGCACGCACTCGAATGAGGTACTGACAAACACTTTCACGTGGTTACACCCCTTTGACTTCGCAGCACACCCCTCACGTCTCATCTTTCATTTTTTCAGAAACCGTATGTGTGTAAAATCCCGGGCTGCACCAAGCGCTACACGGACCCCAGCTCCTTGCGCAAGCACGTGAAGACGGTGCACGGTCCGGAGGCGCACGTCACCAAGAAACAGCGTGGAGATTACCCACGCCCTCCGCCCCAGCCCCGGGAGCCAGGGGGCAACGGCCAGGGCCGGTCGCCAGGGCAACTGCCCCTGAGCGGGTATACAGACCAAAGGGAGTACAACCACGCTACCTCAAAACAAGATGAATGTCTGCAGGTCAAGTCCATCAAGACAGAGAAGCCCATGGTAAGACTTGATTTCAGCTTTGATATCCATTTAGCTCCCTGACGCTCACACCTTCAACATGATTTAGATTCCTTTAAATTTCTTTAATACTTTTACCTTCACTTTAACATAATGATTTGAATACTTGAACGCAGTTGTGTGTGATTTAACATTGAATTGGGGGCTTATTTAACCCTGAAGTCTTCTAATGAGTAAATGTTTTCTTCTGTTCAATGCTTCGGCATGTCTCTCTCTTTCTTTCTAAGGACAGTGGGTAATCAGGTGAGACAGGTGTCCCTTCACATTGTATTTGTGAGGTCTAGTCTTTCTTTTTTTTTTCTGTTCTTGACCATCATTTTATTGTCTGCTTGACTTTTCTCATCCTATGACACCTGCATGACACTTTTACTCAAAGGTTTGTTGTCATCGTAGGTTTCCTTCATCCCTCACGCTCATGAAAAGATTATTCCTCTCATTTTCCTGTACAGCACTTTTGATATTTACCCAAGGCGATGCATTTCTGTGAGCAGTGGCCCATTGCTTTTGGCAGAACTGTGAGCTACTGAAAGTATGCCTGATACTGTCCAGGGCTCCACTGTTGCTGTGCAGCCAAATCCATTCAATAGGAAACAGGGTGAATACCCTCTAAACACTGTTGACACTTGATGCCAAAAAAAGTGATTCCATTATTCCTCAGTGCAACATAGTTCCTGTAATTCAGTAAACAACCTAATTAGACACTAGACGCCAGTCTCATAAGAGGCCTTTATCCTATTTGCCTATCCTCTGAAAACAACCCAAAACATGATTTTCTCTTTTGAAACATTTTTTTTTTTAGTGTCCTGACTGGATCACAGGGGGAGGCATTACTCATGCCTCAGTAATGCACAAAACATTATCTACCAAACACCTCTTTTTGGGCCAACCAGCACAAACTGCAGTGATTATGTAAGATGATTAAGTAGCAACACAGGAATAAAATCTATCTTTTAAAAATTTTGATGAGTAATTATCATTGTTGATAGGGAATGCATCTTTCAAAGCATTACATCGTATGGTTGTTTGTGACATATGATACTGTACATGACCTCCCATGTGTCACGTAAAGGAAACTTTATAATCGTCTGCTTTTTGTATTTTCTTCTCTTTCTCTCTTCTGCCGGTCTTGTCTTTCGTTCCCGGTCTGTGTCCGTCAGACGTCTCAGCCAAGCCCTGGCGGTCAGTCTACATGCAGCAGTGACCAGTCCCCCATCAGCACCTATCCCAGCAGTGGAGTCCAGCTTGCTGTGAGCGCCGGACGCTCGCCAGGGGAGGGGCTGGAGGAGGACGAGGAGAAAGAGGAAAACGAAGAGGAGGCAGAGGAGGAGTGTGAGGGTGAGCCAGCCCCCATTATGGACTCCACGGTCTCCACGGCGACCGCGGCCATGCTGACCCTGCAGGCGAGGCGAAGTGTCGGCCGCCCCCTGCGCTGGATGGAGCACATCAAGATGGAGCGGCTGAAGCAGGTGAATGGAGCGCTGCCCAGGCTGGGGCCCCTGTCCCCTACACCGCCCCCCAAAGGTTCCACATTACCCAACATCCTGGGGAAGGGTAAGGTTAACTTTTTAAACCTTTTTTTTCAATTTGATTTTGTATGGGAAACCTCTCCCAAATGCTCGTAAAATGTGTTACTTTTGCCCACGACCCTCACAAAACAGATGTTGAAGCCTTATTTGGCACATGCAGAGTTCATGTGGTCATTTTAACAGTTAAAAAGCACCTGTACACAGAATTTACGCATCACCACAAATGTGTGAACAAATCAATTTTTTTTTTAAAGAGGTGAATTATCCTGAATTCCATCTCGCACGTTTTGGCTGAAGCATTCGGGCAAAACAAATGCTTAAAATGTCTTTTCTGCCGGAAAATGGTATCAAACCCGTATCACGTCGTGTATCATATCAGCGGGAATAGCATGTAACACTGTTTCATGGCCAAATGCTGCCAGTTGTCTTTGCTAACATCTGTTTTCAGGGATCTCTCCGCGCTTAACTTGTTTGGCTTTTTTTTCTTTTTTTTTCTCTCTCATTCTCCTGTAATCTCTCTTTCACCACATAATTTCCTTGTTCTCCCTCTCTGTGTTCAGACGTTCTTCATGCCCGTTTCTCTGTCTGTGTTTCTCCTCAGGATCCTGTCTGGGCAGGCAGTGGGGGGTGTCTGCGCCACAGCCGCCTGCTCATGCTGAGCTGGGCAGCACAGAGCTAACAGTGCTCAACTTGCTCCGAGACCGGCGTGACAGCAGCGGTAGCGCCACCAGTTCGGCCTATCTGAGTAGCAGCCGACGCTCCTCAGGCATCTCCCCCTGCTTCTCCAGCCGACGCTCCAGCCAGGCTTCCCAAAGTGAGGGTACGATGGCGGTCGGCCACCACCGCCGCCTCCACAACCTCAGCTCCACCGACTCTTACGACCCCATCTCCACTGACGCCTCCCGCCGGTCCAGCGAGGCCAGCCAGTACGGAGGTGGGGCAGGAGGAGGGGGTGGAGGGATATTCTCAGGCGGGGGCTGTGGAGGTGTAGGAGGAGTAGGCATGGGAGGAGGAGGGGGCTCACGGGGCATGCTTAATTTAACCCCAGCGCAGCACTACCACCTTAAAGCCAAGTATGCAGCAGCAACTGGCGGCCCGCCTCCTACGCCTCTGCCCAACATGGAGCGCATGAGCTTGAAGACTCGCATGGCCATGATGGATGAGGGTGGTAGCAACCACTGTTTGCCGCCTCTAGTCAGGCCACATCGTTGCAGTGAAGGCACCAATGGGTACACTAATGGGTATATGGGACACGCAGGTTACAGGAGGAGGGTCCTCTATCCTGGTGAGGGACCACTGAATGGGAACCGGAGGGCCAGTGACCCGGTCCGGACGCAGGCTCCTGATTTTTGCAGTTTGCCCCCAGTGCAACGCTTCAACAGCCTTAACAACCTCCACCCTCTTCCACCTCTGTCCCATCATTCTACACCTGAAACCCGCAACTTTAGCCTACAGAACTACACGCGCTCAGAGGGCAACCTGCAGAGAGGTCTGCAGCACTCACCGTACACTCCCAGCATCGCAGAACATGCAGCCTTAGAAGCCCTGGCCATGGAGGATGACGGGGAGGCTGGCCTGTTGCTTGGGGATGAGGATATGCTACCAGATGACCTGGTGCAGTATCTCCACTCCCAGGTTCAAGTGGACGGTGGCTCCTACATGCACATTGAGGACCAAATAGCTTCTAGCCAAAGGGACACCTCTCATCCATCCATGGAGGAGTTGGTACAGATGCAGACATCAGGGTTGAACTTCGCCTTCCCTGGGTCCCATAATCTCCAGCAGCAGCAGATGGCAGAGAGGAAGAGCCCCAGTAAGCTTCCCATCCAGTGGAATGAAGTGAGCTCTGGGAGTGCTGACAGGTCTCCTCAGAGAGGACAACACCACCAGACACAGTGTGGAAGGTGGTCGGGCGCAGAACACGGACCCATATCTGCACCTTTTGGCAGGTTTGGAAACATGGTGGTTCAGCAGCAAGTGTCCCTTGATTTCCAGAACAGTTGTTCCCAAGCTAATCAGTCTCAGAGTGCTTGCTGTGTCAACGCCGGGGTGAAGCTAGAAACGTCGCCTAACTCCTGCATGGACATGAGAGGTACTAATCACAACTCAACAAACACCTTTGGCAGGCCTAACTTCTCACAGATCATCGATGAGCCTCTTCCCCCGGGCTTCAAACAGCAGGCCTCCAATGGACCTCAAAAACAGAGCCACTTCCAGCAGAACCACAACAGTAGCACCTCTTGTCAAGTTGGGAACAACCTAAACCATAACAGGGGCTCCATGGACAACCTCCCCAGCCTCTCCCAGGGAACTGCTCTTCTTCATCACAATCGGCAGGTCCATGCCCCTCGCCCACCAATCAACAGTTACAGGAACTTGGTCAGGACCCAGCAGTACCTCGGTGCTGAGAGCGCCAATGAAATCCAGGGTAGCCTCAACCAGCAGCAACAACTGCAAAGGAGTGGGGACCATTGTTCCCTGGCACATCAGGTATCTGGGCTGAAACTGGAGGCCCCAGACCATGGATACTTAGAGCAGGGCTTTGGTGACTGCCTCTCATACGAACCAGCGGATCGCAAGGCCCCCTCATTCCCTGTCCTGGAGGACCAGTGCTTGCTTGACTCCATGGCTGAGTCAGAAGTGGGACAAGGTGTTGGCACTGGTAACGGGAACTCAGTTGCTCTTCTCTCCCCTGGTGCAGACCAGGTAACCAGCACAGTGGAAGGCAATGTGCCTGGTGTATTAGATGAGGGTGTAAGTCTGGACTTTGGTGCCATGCTGGAGGATGGCTATGATCAGGGTAGCTTGGTCTCAGGGGTGCTGAGTCCCTCTATCTTCCAGGGTCTATCCAGGACCTCATCACGCCTGACCACCCCTCGAGCATCCACAACCTTCCACAGCGTGGCCCCTGGCCTAAACAACATGGCCATTGGAGACATGAGCTCTCTCCTCACCACCCTTGCTGAGGAGAGTAAGTTCCTGGCTATCATGCAGTAGTGTCTCTCTCTCTCTCTGCTTTCTCCTCCCTAAGGAAAAATGGAAAAAAAGGAAGAGAAAAACTCTGGTGTATGTGAAGATTAAGAAAAAAGTGGCAATTATGAAAACTTTATTCTGTACTTAAAGTGTTCTAGAACAGGCAGTTGCCAAAACTCATTTATTTTGTAAAAAATGTCATCCCACACAGAAACGGGATGTGTCAAAATTATGTATAGTTAATAAATAGTTATATTCCTTTTCTGGAATGAAGGCTATTTTTGGAAGCCCTTCTCTTTGTATTACTATGTGATGGGGAGCAAAAGCTCACGTCTTTGAAAACAGTATTCTGTGTATTGTCACTGTTTTTGCTGTACACACTGTTGGTAAAGAAAAAAAAATGCATGCATTTGAGGTTAAACATTCAACACTGTCTATATAAATACATAGACTAGCCCATGTGCCAAGTATCTACCGTTCCGATCCCACAGGTACAAAATCGGTAAATCCATTCTTGTTCCAGCAGGTGAGACATGGGTCATGTATTTAACAGGCCCTGCTGATAACTTTATATATCATAGGTTTTAATAAGTGGTATATTTACATTCGTTGTCATTTTGTTTGTATGTTACTTTTGTGAATCTGTAAATGTTTCAGTGCTTCTACCAACTTTTACCAAGTGGTGTTTTTGTCCAGATGGTATCGAGTCCAAAAAATGATGGACAACACATCCAAGTCTTCAAGGCACCGTAGATAGTCGTCTACTTGATATCTAAATGGCTTGATTTAGTTAGTCTGGTAAGGTACTCAGTGTATATAACAGTGTTTTTATATTCTGTTTGTGATAATCTGTTTTTCGATGTTGGATTGCACGGTTGTTCGGAGCTGATGTGAAAATGGACATTTTCTCCTCAATGATCAGAGGTCCCATTTGGTGCTTTATGTTTGCTTACATGAATTGAGTACTTTATGGTTTTAATCTGTCTTAACGACCATCAGTGGTCCACAGCACATGGATTTTCCTCTCATAATGATAAGTGCTGTAAAGTGATGTGTTTTGTTTTATAGGAAATCATCTGTATTGTTTTCTCCAAAGCTCTTAAATTCAGAATGTGTACTGCCATCAAGTATTGCAGTGACTTTGTCAGCAGTGTTAGTATTGCCTTGCAGTTGTATGTGACTGCGCACAGAATATTGAGTAGTTTACCTTTTATTCAGCGTCAAAGCAATGAGGTACAAATTGTTTTACTGTTCTGTACTGTACTGTTTGGTACCATTTGGTCATTTTTTGTAGCTGTGCATTGATTGTGTTTTTTTTTTTTTCTTCAAAGAAGTAGAAATCATTTCCTTTGAAAGAAGGAAATTACATTGAGGTATGTGCCTTATACGTATCTGCCTGTCGGTAAAGAGAAAGATCACTGCCAATCTTCCATTGTGAATTATGAAAAAATAAAAATTAAACATGTAAAGTGTCTTGTGAGACCTGAAAAAAGATAAAATGCTAGAACATTTATATGAGAAAAGTCTGAATATCAGAAAAGTTAAGATTTGCGAAATGCATTCTACTTTTCTTTGATTTTGTTTTTTTTTTCACATTTATTGTGCTTTTATATATAATATGTAAATACAATACTCTTTCTGTAGGTTTAGCAGAGGAAATGGGGGAGTATCCTGGGGCCAAGAAAGAACTGACTTTGAAAGCAGGGATTCCCAGGCCCTGGGTAGAGGCCAGACAGATCTGGCTCAGAGCGGAGCTTCAAGTGCCCAGCGCTGCCCCTCCGCCAGAAGAGCCACTTTGCTCTTTTATAACTGACTACAAATGTTTGTATGGTTTTAATAAAAATGGAAATTATATTTTAAGTCTCTTTTCCTTTTTATATGCTGGTTCAATAATATATGAGATGTATTGGTTTGAATTATATATGATTTTTATGGAGACTCCAACTCAAGAAGAACGTAAAGGATTAACTATTTTTGTAATTTTACACAGACACGTAATTAATTAGATGGATATGGAGATGGATTTGTTTCAATATTATTTGTTTGAAGAGATTGACTGTGTGTGTAAATGTGTAACCTGTAAATATGAAACACCCTCCACAAATACAAAAAATAGTTTTGCAAATTCACAAAAACATCTTACAAATATGAGACGGATATGCAAATACACAAAAAAAATTCCACAATTACAAAAATTAATATCTGTGAATACTTTCAATTAATTTACTAATAAATGAAAAGCATTTATGAATATCTTCCAAACATTAACAACTTTCACACAGACATTTGTGAATACATTTTCTATTGTGAAGCGAAAAAGCATTTGTGTATATCCATTCTACGCTTGTGGATTTCAATTTTACACGTGGAGTTTTCAAACAAACGTTCCACCAGTCTTAACAAAAACCTCCCACCACTTTCGGAAAACAACTGATCACCTGCTGATGACGCCATTTCCATCATAGTATATTAAGACATAAGAACGCCATAGAATAGAAAGGCAGAAAAATGTCAAATAACGTCAAAGTATAGTAAGGCATTGAAATGTCAATAAACGCTATAGTATAGTAAGGAATAAAAACGCAATAGTATAGTCAGGCAGAAAAATGTCAAAAAAGTCATAGTGTGATGAGGCATAAAAACGTAAAGTAAAACATCATAGTATAGTAAGGCATAAAAATGTCAAAAAAATCTAATAGTTTAGTAAGGCATAAAAACACCATAAATGTTGAAAAAAATCTTCATAGTATACTAAGGCATAAAAATGTGAAATAATGTCATAGTATAATAAGGTATAAAAATGCCACCATTCAGTAAGGCATATAAACATCATAGTATATACTAAGGCATAAAAATGCCAAAAAATGTCATAGTATAGTAGGGCATAAAAATGTCAAAAAATGTCATAGTATAGTAAGGCATAAAAATGTCATAGTATAGTAAGGCATAAAAATGTCATAGTATAGTAAGGCATAAAAATGTCATAGTATAGTAAGGCATAAAAATGTCATAGTATAGTAAGGCATAAAAATGTCATAGTATAGTAAGGCATAAAAATGTCATAGTATAGTAAGGCATAAAAATGTCATAGTATAGTAAGGCATAAAAATGTCATAGTATAGTAAGGCATAAAAATGTCATAGTATAGTAAGGCATAAAAATGTCATAGTATAGTAAGGCATAAAAATGTCATAGTATAGTAAGGCATAAAAATGTCATAGTATAGTAAGGCATAAAAATGTCATAGTATAGTAAGGCATAAAAATGTCATAGTATAGTAAGGCATAAAAATGTCATAGTATAGTAAGGCATAAAAATGTCATAGTATAGTAAGGCATAAAAATGTCATAGTATAGTAAGGCATAAAAATGTCATAGTATAGTAAGGCATAAAAATGTCATAGTATAGTAAGGCATAAAAATGTCATAGTATAGTAAGGCATAAAAATGTCATAGTATAGTAAGGCATAAAAATGTCATAGTATAGTAAGGCATAAAAATGTCATAGTATAGTAAGGCATAAAAATGTCATAGTATAGTAAGGCATAAAAATGTCATAGTATAGTAAGGCATAAAAATGTCATAGTATAGTAAGGCATAAAAATGTCATAGTATAGTAAGGCATAAAAATGTCATAGTATAGTAAGGCATAAAAATGTCATAGTATAGTAAGGCATAAAAATGTCATAGTATAGTAAGGCATAAAAATGTCATAGTATAGTAAGGCATAAAAATGTCATAGTATAGTAAGGCATAAAAATGTCATAGTATAGTAAGGCATAAAAATGTCATAGTATAGTAAGGCATAAAAATGTCATAGTATAGTAAGGCATAAAAATGTCATAGTATAGTAAGGCATAAAAATGTCATAGTATAGTAAGGCATAAAAATGTCATAGTATAGTAAGGCATAAAAATGTCATAGTATAGTAAGGCATAAAAATGTCATAGTATAGTAAGGCATAAAAATGTCATAGTATAGTAAGGCATAAAAATGTCATAGTATAGTAAGGCATAAAAATGTCATAGTATAGTAAGGCATAAAAATGTCATAGTATAGTAAGGCATAAAAATGTCATAGTATAGTAAGGCATAAAAATGTCATAGTATAGTAAGGCATAAAAATGTCATAGTATAGTAAGGCATAAAAATGTCATAGTATAGTAAGGCATAAAAATGTCATAGTATAGTAAGGCATAAAAATGTCATAGTATAGTAAGGCATAAAAATGTCATAGTATAGTAAGGCATAAAAATGTCATAGTATAGTAAGGCATAAAAATGTCATAGTATAGTAAGGCATAAAAATGTCATAGTATAGTAAGGCATAAAAATGTCATAGTATAGTAAGGCATAAAAATGTCATAGTATAGTAAGGCATAAAAATGTCATAGTATAGTAAGGCATAAAAATGTCATAGTATAGTAAGGCATAAAAATGTCATAGTATAGTAAGGCATAAAAATGTCATAGTATAGTAAGGCATAAAAATGTCATAGTATAGTAAGGCATAAAAATGTCATAGTATAGTAAGGCATAAAAATGTCATAGTATAGTAAGGCATAAAAATGTCATAGTATAGTAAGGCATAAAAATGTCATAGTATAGTAAGGCATAAAAATGTCATAGTATAGTAAGGCATAAAAATGTCATAGTATAGTAAGGCATAAAAATGTCATAGTATAGTAAGGCATAAAAATGTCATAGTATAGTAAGGCATAAAAATGTCATAGTATAGTAAGGCATAAAAATGTCATAGTATAGTAAGGCATAAAAATGTCATAGTATAGTAAGGCATAAAAATGTCATAGTATAGTAAGGCATAAAAATGTCATAGTATAGTAAGGCATAAAAATGTCATAGTATAGTAAGGCATAAAAATGTCATAGTATAGTAAGGCATAAAAATGCCAAAAAATGTCATGGTATAGTAAGGCATAAAAATACCAAAAAACGTCATAGTTTAGTAAGGCATAAAAATGCCAAAAAATGTCATGGTAAAGTAAGGCATAAAAATGTCATAGCATACTAAGGCATAAAAATGTCAAAAAATGTCATAGTATAGTAAGGCATAAAAATGTCATAGTATAGTAAGGCATAAAAATGTCATAGTATAGTAAGGCATAAAAATGTCATAGTATAGTAAGGCATAAAAATGTCATAGTATAGTAAGGCATAAAAATGTCATAGTATAGTAAGGCATAAAAATGTCATAGTATAGTAAGGCATAAAAATGTCATAGTATAGTAAGGCATAAAAATGTCATAGTATAGTAAGGCATAAAAATGTCATAGTATAGTAAGGCATAAAAATGTCATAGTATAGTAAGGCATAAAAATGTCATAGTATAGTAAGGCATAAAAATGTCATAGTATAGTAAGGCATAAAAATGTCATAGTATAGTAAGGCATAAAAATGTCATAGTATAGTAAGGCATAAAAATGTCATAGTATAGTAAGGCATAAAAATGTCATAGTATAGTAAGGCATAAAAATGTCATAGTATAGTAAGGCATAAAAATGTCATAGTATAGTAAGGCATAAAAATGTCATAGTATAGTAAGGCATAAAAATGTCATAGTATAGTAAGGCATAAAAATGTCATAGTATAGTAAGGCATAAAAATGTCATAGTATAGTAAGGCATAAAAATGTCATAGTATAGTAAGGCATAAAAATGTCATAGTATAGTAAGGCATAAAAATGTCATAGTATAGTAAGGCATAAAAATGTCATAGTATAGTAAGGCATAAAAATGTCATAGTATAGTAAGGCATAAAAATGTCATAGTATAGTAAGGCATAAAAATGTCATAGTATAGTAAGGCATAAAAATGTCATAGTATAGTAAGGCATAAAAATGTCATAGTATAGTAAGGCATAAAAATGTCATAGTATAGTAAGGCATAAAAATGTCATAGTATAGTAAGGCATAAAAATGTCATAGTATAGTAAGGCATAAAAATGTCATAGTATAGTAAGGCATAAAAATGTCATAGTATAGTAAGGCATAAAAATGTCATAGTATAGTAAGGCATAAAAATGTCATAGTATAGTAAGGCATAAAAATGTCATAGTATAGTAAGGCATAAAAATGTCATAGTATAGTAAGGCATAAAAATGTCATAGTATAGTAAGGCATAAAAATGTCATAGTATAGTAAGGCATAAAAATGTCATAGTATAGTAAGGCATAAAAATGTCATAGTATAGTAAGGCATAAAAATGTCATAGTATAGTAAGGCATAAAAATGTCATAGTATAGTAAGGCATAAAAATGTCATAGTATAGTAAGGCATAAAAATGTCATAGTATAGTAAGGCATAAAAATGTCATAGTATAGTAAGGCATAAAAATGTCATAGTATAGTAAGGCATAAAAATGTCATAGTATAGTAAGGCATAAAAATGTCATAGTATAGTAAGGCATAAAAATGTCATAGTATAGTAAGGCATAAAAATGTCATAGTATAGTAAGGCATAAAAATGTCATAGTATAGTAAGGCATAAAAATGTCATAGTATAGTAAGGCATAAAAATGTCATAGTATAGTAAGGCATAAAAATGTCATAGTATAGTAAGGCATAAAAATGTCATAGTATAGTAAGGCATAAAAATGTCATAGTATAGTAAGGCATAAAAATGTCATAGTATAGTAAGGCATAAAAATGTCATAGTATAGTAAGGCATAAAAATGTCATAGTATAGTAAGGCATAAAAATGTCATAGTATAGTAAGGCATAAAAATGTCATAGTATAGTAAGGCATAAAAATGTCATAGTATAGTAAGGCATAAAAATGTCATAGTATAGTAAGGCATAAAAATGTCATAGTATAGTAAGGCATAAAAAT